AAAGACTATAAAAGCAAATGAATTTGCTAAAATTATCATAGAATATGATTCTTAAGTATATCACTCAGCAAATTTTTATTGAGGTTCTATTTTTTGCCTTAAACATACTAAAATTACACAAATATATAAGTAATAGAAGTGAACAACTGAGAATCATGTTCACTATCAGCTGTAAAATAAAATAAAACAAATCAGTTACCGAAAACTAAACAAAATGAATAAGAATATACTGAATGCTTATAAGGCAAACAAGCTCATAACCATCATCCACATAAAGAAATAGAATCTTTGATGTTGCCATGCTCCATGTTCCAATCTGATCTTTTTCTTCCCATTGTGATTCACACTCTCTTGCTTTTTATAGTGATCACTCCTTGCATTTCTTTATAGTATTGGTATCAAGTTTTTAATCCATTAATCATTTATCTCTAAGCCAACCCATTGTTTTAATTTTTGGTTGACAATAGTTGTGCCTATTTATGGGATATATTGTGAAGTTTTGATCTACGTATGTATGTTAAAAGATTTCATCAAGTTAGTCAACATGCCTATCTCCTGACTGACATCATTTTGGGGGGGAGAGAATTGTTGAGGGCCACAACCAAGTTAAGATGGCGCCTAGCAGTATGCCAGGAGGAGTGGTTTGTGAGCCATTAAGATGATGAGGATTCCTTAATGACTGACTGCTGTGGCTAGATGATGTCAATTAAGTTAAGCTGTGTGTAATTAGTTGGGTATATGTACTTCTGCGGTCCAGCAGAGAAGCAGCTCCTGCTACCTTGGGTGCCTACTAGTTTGAGTTCTCAGTTTCTGCTGAGTTCACTCGCAATAAAGTAGTTCCTGCTTCAACGTTCAAGTTGCTTGTCACCTCTCGGTTATTTTGCCCAGCTGGACTTAGGCAGCCCAGCTGGACTACGGCAGAGAATAGGAATGTTAGACTTCTATTCCTAGCAATTTTGAAATATGTAATACATTATTATTAACTGCAACCATTGTGTGATGCAATATATTACTAAAACATATTCTTCTAATCCAACAAACTATCCTTTGATCAATAACTTTCTTCTCTCTATAAACTCCTCACCATTCCCAACCTCTAGTAACCATCTTCCCACCTGTGAAATATAAAGAATCAATCTCATAATCATTCCCATCTTTAAATCATGTTTTAACCCACTAATTTTGCCCTCCTTTTTACTTGCAATTTGTCTTTTTCTTTGCTTAGAGTTTTTTCTATTAACAAACATAAGCCTTTTTATATATAAGGCATTTTCACAGCTTAGTTTTCAGTTGAGTAACTATTGTTACCAGATAAATAATTCCTTTTATTTGAAAGTGACCAATGAGATCCAGAGGCTTAATAAAATATATTTTCAATTCACTTGGCAAGATTATACTATTTGTATAGTTTCTATTTCTTGTAATAACTTCTAATAATGCTGAAACAAATTACCATGAAATTAATGGTATAAAACAGCATAAGTTTATTGTCTTGCATTTTAGTTCTAAATATATGAAGCCCAATATGGGTCTCATGGGTTAAAATCAATTTCTTTGCAGTGTTATTTCATTCTTTAGGAGGAAGTTTTCATCTTTTTTCTAGTGTCTGGTGACTCCACTCATTCCTCAGCTAACAGTCCCATTTCTCCATCTTCAAAGCCAGACCTATTGTTACTCTCTGACTGTTCTCCCTCAGTTAAATCATTATACTCAGGAGACATTTTTTCTACTTTTAATGATTCATATGGTTACATACTACACAGGAGTAATCCAGGCTACTCATATCAAGGTTTCTAACATTAAGCACATTTAAAAGTCTTCTTGTCATACAGAAAAACCTATTCACAAATTCCTAGGATTGATACAGGGAAATCTTAGGGAGGCATAATTTTGCCTTCAGCATTGGAACTTCTTTCAGTAAGAAACATTTTGATTGTCTCTTTTTGTTATGTTAGCACTTAATGACTCTCATTATCTAATCCATTAATTCAAAGATATTTGCAAAATAGAGATTTTCCGATTTTCCTAACCTTTCCTTTTCAGATTCACAGGTCAAATAGGGAGGATAGAATTAATACTTGATTGTCTTTCTTTACTTACTAGTTTCAAAGATAAATTATTTCATTCTTTATCATGTCTGGAGGATCCCATTGTGTGTGTGTGTGTGTGTATGTGTGTGTATATGTGTTTGTGTGTGCACATGTGAGTACTTAGTAATTATAACTTTAAATACATTTGATGGGTGTCATTTTGTTGTGGTTACAGTGCTTATTACAGCTCCGGCTGTCTCATCTTTGAGCAAAGGGTGCATCTTTCATATTTTCTTTTTCTGTCTGAGAGAACAAGGTTAATGAATTTTAAATCATTTTAAAACAAAGTTCTGCTATATTTTGTGGGCATAACTTTTCGACATGGTTGCCTTGCCTGAGGTATGAAAGAAAAAAGCAGTCCTTGGCATCTGGGAGAGGCTGATAACCATCAGCAAACCCCACAGTGTTTTGAAAGTTAGCTTAATACTCCTCTAAGTTTTAGTGTGCCCATGTACACCCGAACAATTTCAAAAAGCTTCAACATCATACAAAGCCGCCTTTCACCAAGGCTGACCAAGAACAAAATCAATAATAAATAGAAAACCTTTTCAATTATTATGTCTGAAACACACACCATATAAATTGACAAACTACCATCTGTCTTGCCTACTATAACTGTTACTTATTTACTAAAAAGAAAGTCTGGATGAAATTTTACTTTTTCTAGATAATATGTATTAAGTTACTCATTATAAAAGTACCCATTTCCTGATGGAACCCAATCCATTATAAATCTCTACTTCCTTAAATATCCCTTTAAAATCCCCTTAATGAGCCAAACTGCTATTAAAAGTCCTTTATAACAAGATATTACTAAAAAACTGCAATTCTCCATGTGTGAGGTCTCACTTATTGCAATGTGTAATAGCTAAAAAAGGGTATGAATTTTAACCTCAACATTTTCTGATGTTTATTTTAATGTAAAATTGATTTTATTGAGCTTTTTGTAAGAGATACATGATTTAAATACTTTTGCAAAAATTTAGGCAGCTCTTATTTTTACTCTTTTCTTGAAGTATTCAAGAATGTGGTGCTGTATTCTGAGTGTTCTTGTTTGTATTCCCATGACTCACCTTTATGTATGTTTGTCCCTTTTTTGAAATGCAGGATCTTGGTCATTCTCAATTTTGCATCCATGCCCAGTAGTTTATCTTGGTATGGGGTCATATTTGGAAGGACCCAAACTGCTTTGTGTAAATTGATAGTTAATTATTATTCCAAAGGAACATTGAATAAAAGCCAGTTACTGGGCCTTCTTTACTCATTCTGTCTCAGATAAAAAATGTTTCAATATTTCACCTTTCAATATGAAATTTACTGAAAAATGTATTTTTCATTTTATTTTCAAAATGTTTTGTCATTGATGACTATTCATTTATATTGAAATATTTGTATATATCTGTCAAGGTAATTATATGAGTATTTTGGCTTTTATCTGTCAGTTTCATGAACAATTATGACATGTTAGCAAGTATCAACATGTACCTGCATTCATAAGTTGTCCTAGTTAGTAATCTATTGTTATTGTTATCACCAGATTCATTTGCTGATACCGTTTTTTTAAATATAATTTTTGCCTTCACATCTGGTAGAGATTTTTGGTAGAATTCTTTTACTTTAGTGTTAGGATTTTTTATCTAATATATTCTGGATACATAAAATACATTCAGTGACAAATTTATACCTTTTCTGGCCTCTGGAGACTAATATTCCTTTAATATCCAGAAATATTAAAGTCACTGTTTAAGTTCTTCAAACCTAGACTTTTCTTCAGAAGAAGTTTAAAACAGCTCAATATATTCAAAAGATATAGGACCTTTTAGATATTACATGTCCATATATCTTTTGAATTTTTTTTTCAAGAAACATGATCATTGCACATTAAGTAAGTTATTGAATTTTTCATCAAAAGATGTTAATAATACTCCTTTATATCCTAAACTTTTTGGAACTACAGTGAGGAAAATATATATAAAATTCAATGCACACATTTTAAGTATATGGTCTGATGACTTTTGACAAATGTCTATTCTCCTTTATTAAATTCAAAGTATAAAACTTTTTCCATTGGCCTTTTTATCTTCAAAATCAGTTTTTCCTCATTTTGTTTTCAGGAAGCCTGTTTATATCAGATTTATTTAAATTTATGTATTTAAATTAGATTTACCTTTCCCAGCATTTAACAATCACCAAATCACTCAGGAATTTCTCTTATGTGTGTGTTGGTTTTTACTCAGGATGATATTGAGATTTATATACTCTGCTACATTAACAATTGTGATTTATAAAATTGGTGAGAGTTCTAGGGGTATTTATCATGCATGAGTTCTCAAGTTCCACCTCCAGCACCACATATGGATATGTATACACAGAAAGGTGAGCAGTATTCCATTGAGCATTCCATATGTTGTAATATGTCTTTCCATTTATCTGGTGATAATCATTTGAATTTTTTACAGTTCTTTTTTCCCATAAATATAAACTACAAATATTCATGTAGAATATTTTATGTAACATGTTTCATTTCTTCTGTGTAAGTACATATAAATACACTGTTGGAGCCCATATTGTATGTGTATGCTGAAATTTATTAGAACAGCCAAATGGTTTTCCAAAGTTATTATACAGTCTTATGTTGAAAGTGATCAATGAATTACAGGTTTCTTTGAATCATCCTTAGGCAGAGGTGATGACCTTATGAAAACTCTGGGTAGAAACAGGTGAATTGAGATTGCTCAGTTGCTGGTGGCCCTCTGTTTAAAGGGAGTTCTGTGTGTCACAGAATTTATTGGTTCAGTAGCCATGGGTCCAAACTCCAGCTGCCTGAAGATAGAAGAGATAGATATGAGCACAAGCTGATAAGCTTTAAACTGGTTGTTTCTGATCACAAGGCTGTTGTTGTTTATCTTGTAAAAGCTTTCTTGCAATAAATTCTTTTGACGTTTAAACCTATATAATAAATGTGCAGAGCCTGTTTGTGGCCAGTCTTCTCTGACCAGGAGTTCCATTGGCCCACCAAGCCCTGCTTTTCTCTATATTTGTGTTTGTTTTTTGTCCAATCCTCTTATCAGCTCAAGCTTGGGGCAAATGGAGTAAACATTGTGCAGGATCACAACAGTCTTACATTTTCACCAGCATACTATGAAAATTCAGCTGTATGAACTCCTTGCAAACACTTGGCATAGTCTTTTTTAACTTTAGACACTCTAATAGATTGAGTACAATGATATTTCATTATGGTTTTATCTGATTGTGTACAGTGATATTTTGCTATGCTTTTATCTGATGACTTATGAAGTCTGGCACCTATTTATGTAATCATTGGCCAGTTATCTACCACTATCCCTAGAAGTGTTCAAATATTTTGGAAATATGTAGTAGGTGGTTTGTGTTGTTAAAAATGTTTCATGCTTTATGTGTCCTATTTAGAAATTTTTGCCAGTTATTGTGAGCAATTTTTTTCTACGATTTTAGAAATCATGTATTTGTATTTTTAGGTTTAGATTTATAATTTAAAGAGCAAATAATATCAGTTACACACTATGTTATCCAAAAATATTGAAGAAACATAAATTTAGCCTAACTCACCATAAGAGACCAGCATTAATCTTTTATTAAACCAAACACACACTTCATCCAAAAGAATAGCCTTGCCTTATTGAATAACATTAGCAAATTAGGGAAAAATTATGAAATATATGTGGGTGGAAGAACTTCTGGACTACTTATTCTATCCCAATTACTTTGATAACATCATAATGAATATAGACCAGAAGAAGGCCTAGAATAAGTTAACATAAGTCTTCCAACTTTGCACTTTTTTTCAAAATTCTTTGGATAACCATATATATTTTTGCTTTAAGTTTAGGATCATTGGGTTTCTTTCTTTAAAACACCTTAATAAATTTTTAAGCAAATTTGTACTGAGCTTCTCAATCAACTGGATGATTTTTATCTTGTTTCTTCTATTTGTGCTGGATTTAATTTGTACTTATTCTACCTTCATGATAAATCAATAATATCCTTGTGTTCTGCTTTGGCTCTTCTTCCTGTGTCATGTTTCAAAAATTGTTTCCAGAAACACTGCAGACAGCAATCATGCAATACGCTGCATCTGCTTTCTTTCATTGTTCACAGCCCTGCATACATTTTAAAACACTGTCCAGAGGAAATCATATTTTTTTTGGCCAATTTTCTAGTTGTTTACATTGTTGTGAATCTTAGAGGAGAAATCCTCAGCTCTTTTCCATTAGTCAGGATGTTGATAGTGGATCTGTCATATGTAGCCTTCATACTCTCACGATGAATCTCTCAGCAATTTAGCTATAGGGGGATTGTGACATTTCTCTATTTTAAAAAGTACTTAAATATGATATTAATTGTACTAAGCCATGGAATTTGAGGAATCACTAATTTTATAAAAATGTAGAACCAAGGTCTTGCATACTTTAATTTCTTTTATCACCTAAGGTATGCGCTTAAATATATTAGTGATTTCTTCTTCCTATTTGACTCAAAATTTATTTTGAATAAGAATGTATTTTTTGCTTCTCAATTTTTTTCCAGACATTACTGAATGAAGAATAAATCCCTGTTTAATTTGCACTCTTACTGACAACTTTTTTTTTTCAGAATTACAGAAAATAATTATTATTTTCATTTTAAGCATGCTCCTTGGGGTACTAAACTTATGTGTTTAGATATTTTTTCTAGATATTTTTCTAGATATTTTTTCTCCATGTGGTGAAATCTTTTAGCACATATGTAATTTATATAGATTCCATCCATTTTCCTATCAATGGATACTCTACATACCCTTCTACTTTGGGGGTATACAATGGAGAAGCTAATGATTACACCCTAACCCACCACTCAGTGAAATAAAAATGGTGAAAGACTGGACAAAACAAGCTTATAGGTATAAATAATGTAAAATTGTTCTAAGAACATTGAAAGAAAATGACAGGCACTGTTATATAAGTGAGGGTGGTGTTGTTAGAATATTCAGAATTAGAAAAGACCTTGCTGAGGAAATGATACAAAAGCTGATGAATGACAGATGAGAAGGTGGTGATAACTGAAAATTCTTCAGAAGTTTACTGACAAGCCAAATAGCATAATGAAATTCCTAGATTAAAAAAAAGTTTGTATTTTAAAGAAACTCAAGTATAGCCCAAATGGCTACAGCATTGAATGGAAGAACTTGCAGTAGATGAAATTAAATAGTTTGTAAAATATCTTAGTGAAAACTTTGATAAATTTGGAAATAAAAAAAATACATGTATGAAACAATACAGTGCTCAATAGAATATTAAAAATGTTATTGTAATTGCACTTTGGGATAATTATGAAATACAGAAAAATATATATTTGCATATCTTTATGAAATTAACAAGTTATAGGACAATATGAGGTGCATATTACAGGAAAATTGTTCGATTTTGGCTTTATTTGATGAAATGCTACAAAAAGTTTAGCTTTCATAAGAATATAGTTATGTTATAATTATTAAATAATAGATAAATGTTTGTAAAATCATGGTAAATTGAAATGTAGCATAGACACTTATAGAAATAAAATACTTCATTTAACAATTTGATTGTTGCAAGTTTATCTTTCTAAATTGTCATGACTTAAGATAAACAACCTGTAAACTTTGAGAAATAAATGTGTCATAGACATTATTTCAAGTTGTAATTTTGCATAGCATTTTGTAAATAAGAACCATTTTATCATTCAATTTAGAAAAATATTTCACATTTTGTAATTTTGATAGCTAAAGAAATGTGAAATTTTACAAAGAAATGAGTTAATATATTCATAACACATTTTCCAAATGGCATTTTCACTCACATTGGTATATTCACTTTATCAAAGATTATAAAAAAAGAAAAATATCAATTCCTTGTCATACATTAATTTACTTATTATCTTATGTAAAAGAAAGTAAAGACTTGTTTTAAAATTAATCAAAGTTGGGGCAGTAGAGATGGGATATGATGATAATGATGTATATGTATTTCCCATGATTAGTATTTTTGGATCTTCACATTATAGAGAATGAAAATATTTCTTCTCATAGGGAAGATTTCTTGTATCAAATTTTAATAAATATATATCTTAACACTTCCCTCCATTTTTTTTTGTTTGTCCAATACTAGTATCATTGGGAAAGGTAAATATTCACAAGGAAACAAATGATAAAAAAAATGAAATAAGAAAAATGGTGAAATGAATATCTCAAAATGTAACTAGTTAGCTATGGAATGTGTGTTGAGGGTTCTACCATTGATTCAGGGATTAGGAATATCATCTGCTCTCAATTGAACACACAGGCCCTCATACCACACATAGGATTCCACACGGTATATCTCCTGAACACTTCACTTTTATTGCTTTAGCATGCTCATTGTGTTCTCACTCTGACATATTATATCATAAATATTGTGAATAGAATGAAGTCTTTATTAAAGCCAAATATATAAGGTATTAAATTCAATCTCTATCAACTTAATAGTTTTTAGTTTCAGATACTTTATTTGTATAAAAATATGAAGACTATTTGTCTCAGATTTTTTAATAAAAAGTAGTGAAACATCAATAATAAAATAATTTGGACTTTTTGAGTAATGGCTACATAACAGCAACTATTTTGAATATTCAGTTAATTATACTAAATTCACAGTGAAAATAATTGCATTATTATTATTTTAGGGATGAGGAGACAAAAAAATGTCCAAGATTCCTTTTCTAAAGTCACAATACAGACAGGATTTTAAGCCCACATTCAAGTTTGTCATACAGCATATATTTGTTTTTATTAAACACAGAGGTGATTAATGTATGCATATCTTGCTAAGGGATGACACAAAGGGATGACACTGCTGAATAGAAAATAACAGGTAAATACTTGAGAATTCCTTAAAGGAAGTTTGTCGGCTGTTTCTGAATTCTCTAATATCTAAAGGCAAAAAGTGATGAATTCAGGTATATGATATTTTTGTGCATGCATGTTCTTGTTTTGACCACAGAATTACATTGATAATCATGATATTTCCCTGGCTTGATTGTTTTTATCAGATATCCATTATGTCAAAGTTGATTATCACTCGTTTTTTGCATAATTAAATAATTACAATTTAAGTATTCACTATAAACTTGTAAACTTCTCTTTTGTGTTTTTCCTTACCTCTTAACAGAATTTTGTTTTCATATAAATATGGGCAATTTCTGTCAATACATAACATACACCAAATTAAATAACGCACTAACAAAAAGGAGGTTTTCCTCTAAACCTCTTCAGTTTCAATAATCTCTCTCTTTCTCATTGTTTCCAGTGGAAGAAGCTTTACATATTCTGATGTCAGGTGTCTATCTTTAGCTCCTCTGTACTGCATATGCTGACTTGATTATTTTGAAAAGGTATCCATATAAATAATGAACAAAATACTATAGAAATAGGTCACTTTTTACTGTAAGGAGCATCTGCCATAGACATGCCGGGACTCATTAAGTTGCTGGCCCTAAGGAACAGCAGCCATTGAACTGCTTGGTCATATGTGCTTGCAATTGATAGACCTGTAAGGGGCACTTGCCATAGGCATGCTTAGCACTGAATAGTTACAATTGATAGGGAGCACAGCTCCATAAACATGCACAAAGAAAATGCCCAGCTACACGATGTGATTCTGCAATCTGTATATGGGGTAAAAGTGGGAGTTCATAATCCACTTGAA